CCCCCTCCCACCCCCCTCCCCCCGTCCTACTTAACAGCGTTTAAACTGTCGACCCCGGCTAAAACCCCACCCAGTTGCAGGTAAATTCACAACTAAGACTAAGCATAATCATCACATGTTAGTAGTTAGTGCACAGAGATTTTTGGATAGGATTTTTTCAAGGTTTTTGCAATTGCCATGAATACGTGGAAAATAGAGTTTAATGTCTCAACACTGACCTTGGTAGGCCCCTGTTACTTACCTATAAACTCTATCGTATTAGTCATTGTTGAACCCTGCTGCTGCCTTGTCTTTCTTTAGAAGTGTCTCCTTTGTCTGTTTTGTTCGTTCTTTTCGCTTCCTTTGTGTTTTGCTTTGTTTTGTTTCTTTTTTAAAACGAGTTAATTTGATTTTTCTCTTCCTGTGGTTTGCAACTGGTAGATTATACTAACAAATACAAAGCAGTAAACACGGCGGATATTTATAACTATATCATTAAATATTTACAACGAAAGTGAGTCCGCTTATTACTAGCTCAATCACTTTGCCTGACTGGCTTAAAGACTCATCGCAGCTTAAAATGGCAATATTGTTTTTCCTTTTTTAAAATTTAGGTATTTAAAATATCAAAATTTATTTAATAAAATAATGCAACCGAAGTATCAATTATGTCAGCAATCAGTTTGGCAAAGAAAATTGGTAGTTTATTAAGACAGACAAAACAAGAGATTCTTAAACTCCAGGAGACTGGTAAACGCTTTATAAATCTAGGCCAAGTCTTCACTTAGTTTGCAGACACACTTTTATCTTTTCGGAAAATATTTTAACAGCCAATCGCTGCCGGAATTTGTTGCGTGTAGCTTCCGTTTTCAGGTCTTTCAACATATTTTCCAACATTGCAAAAATACCATTCCGAAAGGTTTTGCTGAATTATTTAAAAAAGATTCGTATAATTTCAGCGGAGATTCCTACGAAAAACTGCAGGCGCTCATTTTTGTTTTTAAAAAAGCACCTTTGGATATCACAGTTTCTTCTTAGGAGAACTTATATCTATATTTTTGAATTGTACACAGAAAATTTGTCAAGACTCGTATAAACATTTAATCATTTCCCAGCCTTTTTCTAAAATGACAACTGTTCTCCCAAAAAGGATGAAAATCGAGCCATACGATGAACAGATATTTAGAAATTTAAAAGAAAAAATTTCTTTCAAGCGTTTGATGATATGCGCTAATTAATGTCGTTAATTTTTACCTTTGCTATTTGAACTCAACACCTCGTATTTCTTTTACAAGTCTCCTGAAAGTAAAATGGTGCTATAAATTGTGGCTTTACATCCTTATTGTAGTTTACTAAGACCGTCGCCATTTCTTATGTAATACTGTCGAGAAGACATAACGAGAACGCATGCTTCGGATGAATCTATAACGTTTTATGCAAAAGGACTAACCTTCGACTAGTGAGGCACAGAACAAAGCAAAGCTTAAAAAGAGGAATCTGCACATTTTTCAGATGGTCTCCCTTTCCGAAACTCCACCACTTTGTACTAGGTGATGTAACGCTTAACTTATTGATACATGACTGTTTGCAGACCGGTAACGAATTCATTTAATCCACCCCCCCCCCCCCCACCCCCACCGTCTTGCGTTATTCGACTTCAAAAAAAATAGTTTTCTTTACTCGATAAAAACAAACAAACAAACAAACAAACAAGCACGTTGGTACGTCGTGTCTGTCTTAGCCGTGCAAAAAATGAGACTACGAAACAGCTTTGCGAAAAAGTCGAGACTGTGAGACCAGTGAAANCCCCCCCCCCCCGCTGCGTTGCGTTATTCGACTTCAAAAAAAATAGTTAGCCAGCCACGATAAAATAAAATAAAATGAAAAAAAATTTTAAAAAATAAAAAAACAAGCACCAGCAAGCACAATGGGACAGAGACGTCAATCAGCGAAATTGCTTCTTCAGCGCCCTATATCTCTTCCATGCAGCCTCCTTCAGGAGAAGCCGCTCTACCCCAGGCCAATGTAAAGAAATAAACTTTAACCATGAGAACATGATCTTGCTGGACTATGGCCGCCATGTTGCGCGACGTCGTCGTCCTCTTAGGGCGCACGCGTCCGCGATCCATGCCGCTAGCGATGTTGACCATGAAAAAAGAGTTGCATGGTTTTCTATTTCTATACGTGCATGTGGTTCAGCTCCTATGGTTACGGTGCTCGGCTTGGCGGTCCTTCGTGCCCCCGGCGCTCCGCTATTACTATGGTTACAATGTAAACTTACCTAGTAAAAATTAAGGCTTGAACTTTAATTTCAAGATTTGCAATTCATGATCAGCTCCATACAAATTCATGATTAAACAGAATGTAAATTTTCACGAGTTTCCTCCCCTTTATAGAATGCAGGCATGAGATTGTTTTCTTCTTCTTTTTTTTTCTTTTCCATTTTTCTTTGCACGCGTGGCAATTTTAATATCTTTACAGTGAAGGAAACAAAGTAATGAGAGACCGATTATTTGGGGCCGTGAACCGATTTTTTTTTCAGTAATTCTTAGCAGCCCGAACGTTGAGCTTTGTCATAGCGACGATCGAAGGTTGTACTGACATGTTGATCATTTCAAGTTTTTAAAATTAATTCCCGCATCTCGACACTAAAGTGTTAGATAGGACTAGACTCGTTATTCCTCTGATGGACTCCGATGTCTACAAGAATTTTCCAGAACACTCATTTCTTGACTTAGCTAACAAGACTCACGTTCCGATGTGAAGATCTGCCTCGTTTCTTAATACTATTAAAGCAACTTCTATCACGTGCACTCCATGTGAGTTGACTCCCGCTCTAAGCGCACATTCAAGCGGTGTCGATAAGGTTGCTTGGCGCGGCATCAAACTTCTGATCATTTCTTCAGAGGAAACGCTCAAAGATGCAAGCAATATTTTTGAGGATCGGAAGGTTCGGGTGTGGGCATGGATTCAAATTTATCGCTCTATTCTGCGTTATTTTTACTTTTAGAATGCTGTACGGGAGCGACACCGCTGCTAAAGAAAATCGACTTCGGAATTATGCTTACGTGGAGAACTTTAGTCCAGCTTCAAGCATCCCGTCGATTACACTGTTCGTGAGGATGGCGGGCAAACTACAGGAACACAAGACTCGTTTTTACTGTGATATTTTTAGAACTGCTGTTCTCTTCTGGCCTGCATCGTTTGGGAAGACAGTCGTAGTTTTTGATGGAGAATCCGATCAGGATCATATTTTTGCCAATAACCTCACAAGTCAAATCAAGCAACACTTCCCGGATCGCAAACTTGAGGTGGCCTACGAGCCGTTACCCAAAGACGAAAGTATTTTAAATTTTCCAGGTCCTAAAAACTCTTCGGGTTACAACCGCCAACTCTGGAGCAGCTTCTTTATTGATCTAAGATTAGTTACGCTTGGTTCTTCGAGAGAGATCGATACGACTGGAACCTAAAGATATGCAGTGAGCTGAAACCTTACAATAGACGGCTTCCAGTCGGCCACAAAATTACACCAGAAGACACAGAGGATATTCTGTCCCAGCCGCAAACGGCTTTCCACGTACCTTACGCAAAAGAGCCTCTTTCCCCAAACATCTTCATTAACTACTGTCTGTCACACGAGGCAACGGGAAACCCGCAGGCCATGTGCTCCAATAGTTCAGTTTCACGTGCCAATAACTTTGTTCTTTTTTACCACGATCTTCAAAGGGTCACACCGGGTGAAACACCATGCACTGGTAACAAGAAAAACCACTGTTTGACAGTTTTAGATCGACATTACAAACAAGTTGGTGTGGACATTAGAAAAGGACGCAAAATACAATGGAATGATTTTGAAACGGTCAAAACCCTTGCAAATGAGGCTGGCATTATCTGTACTAAGTTGGTAATGAATGAGGGCACAAAAGAAACGCCGACTAATTAAGATTGATAACTTAGAGTCACAATCGTGATTATAATGGCAAACTCAATATACGGTCATGACGTTTGCAAAGTTAACCCTTCGCCTCGTCATTTGCATCGGCAGTTGTTAGCTGCCAGTGAAAAATAATCAGTCAAAAATTACTTTGTCTATTGACGAAGACCTTACTCGCAGTGATTTTATGGTTCTATTTTTACATTTCCGGCTACTATTCTAGAATACAGTTGACAACAAAGTGTGGGAATGATACTTGGTTTAATTATCCGACCACTCTGTAATAAACCTTGCTACTTCTGGAGTAGCCTGTTAACAGGCTCGGGCTGGAAGGGTCTGACTGCGCCTGGAAGGGCCGAGAGGGAACTGGCGGAGAGTGAAGTGGCCGAGGGGGCAATGGTGTGGGGGGATTGGAGTGCAGCCATGGCACCCAGCATGAATCAGTCATCAAGAGAAATGACTTAGACTTAGTTTCTAAGTAAATTTAGGATAAACGCATAGAAGATAATTTTCCTGCCCAGCGCTTTGAAAATGCTTTCCATGAGAGACCTCTCTCGATTCAATTCAAGACGGTTACGGTAGTTCCGGAAAAGCAGCTTCCTTTGCCGGGGACTTGTACACTGTAGTAAATATTACACTGCGCTTTCGAAATCAAATATACTCAAAAATTTGCTCCGGGATTTTCGAAGCGAAAGTTCTAACAAACGGGGAACAAATATTTTAGTTGTCCTGCGCTTTGAAATACCTTTTGAGAGAGATGTTTTTGGCTTCAATCCATTCAGTACTTTCCGAGAAACGACTTTCGAGCAGGTTAGAATAAAACT